TGGAAGGAGCCTCATTCTGAATGCGGCTTTCTAGATGGGTAAACTGGACCACAGAGTGCTGCATTCTCTGTGCCACTATCTAGCACGGTTTGCCAAAGCTGACCAGACTCTAAGCTGGAGTCCAGAAAGGCTGAGCACAGTGTAACAGGCAGGAGGGGTGGAGGAGGTCCCGTTTAGAATCTTGACTCTGGAAAGCCCGAGGTCTGCATACGTTTTGCAGCCGTGGCAAACATCGGTCTCCTCAAGAGCACCCAGCAACTGCTGGCTGCTGGATAAACTAAGACTGGAGAGGAGAGGAAGGGACGTCGCCTTGCTAGCACAATTTGAGGCATCCCGAAATCTCAGAGATTAAATCATATCTTAATACAATACTTAAAACTTTCAAAATTAGTGGAAAAAATCGATGAAAAACAATCTATCAAAATTTTAATCAGGACCCTGTATTGCTCTTCTTGTTTTTCCTCCAGATCCAATGAGGCTGGGCACAGCACTAGGCTGTAAGGTGGAGCTTGAATGTTTTCAGTTTGAACGGATAGCCCAAGCCTGTGACCTTTGTTTTTGATGCTATGGACATGGGACACGTAAAGTGGAGTCCAATGTAACTATAGGAATGTGAAACTGATGGTCAAATACCAGAGCAAGCATGGCTCAATTCTTTAGGAGAAAAGCAGAGAAAATGGCAAATTTTACTCTCTATATCAAGTTCCATTTAGAATCTTAGGTATGTGCATTGTTTGGCTTCAAAAACAGGACAAATACAAATCTGATTCAAAGTTAAACTTCTCTTGGCCTCTCTTGGCACTCTTTTATCAACACTGAACATCCAGGTACTGACCACAAGTGACCTTGAAGCCATTTACTTTGCATATAGTGTGGATTTTTCCATAATAAATGTAAGATAAAATTAAGAATGACTTGCACACTGAGAACCATTTCTTGTGTCATGTGACGGACGTGCTAGGTCCATAGTGTTTACAAGATTGTATGATTCAATGCCTCAGCAATGTCACTATGGACTCAAATATATTTTTTCAATCTTAACCTTTGCCTTCCTCATGAGCTACTGTCCTTGTGGTTACAAAATGACTGCAGCAGCTGCAGACTTTTCTTCCCATGAGAATAAAGTTCCTCTCATGTTTAGGATCCCCTCTCAGAATTTGTAGATTCCAAATCATATCTTAGGAACAACTGTGAATTCGTGCTTTTGGTTTTTTTTTTTGAGGACATATCATAGAATAGTTAAGAGCTTGCACCTACACAGGGCTACAAAATCTGACTCTGTAACTCACGAGCTCTGTAAATATGGACATATTTTTAAAATGTGTCTTTTAATTTTCTTATATTTGAAAGAGAAATAAAATAATGCACCTACTTTATTGTGTTATTGTGACAAAAAATTAATACATTGTAAAGATCCTAGAACGGTAGCTGGTTGCAATTATGATACTCCTCACAGTTATGTATGTATTGACTCAAAGAAGCAAAAGTACTGAGTACAACTGTCGTAGTATCTCTTCAAAGAAGACATAAAGAAAAGTTTCAGTTACATTGTATAATGTTCGCATGTTGATAGGGCTTCGACATGAGATCTGAAAGAGAATATCAATCAGTTTCGAGACAACTAGCTTACACAAGCATGTGTGTGAGTGTTTGGATTGTTAAAGATGCTGTCTGCATGGTTGAGAATCAGAAGCTGCACCAAGTCAGCAACATTGCCTTGATGAAAACAATCTGATTAGACGTATTCACTGTATCAGAGCCAGGCTGTGAGAACGCATGTGCATACACACACACACACACACACACACACACACACACACACACACACCTCAAATATATACAGTGATTTTAGCATAAGTGTAATTAAATTGATAATTTTTGTTGGATTTTATTGGCAAGTCTCTCAGTTAACACTCAGGAAGTAGAGAAAGGAGAAAATATTCTCCATTTATTCCAATCGTAAAAATCCCATTTGTAATTCTCTTCTACTGGATATGAACCGTATTGGTGCTAAAAGTGCCTTTAACACTGCCAATACAATTCCCATCCTTACGTATAATTCTTTTACAATGCTCAGTTGCAATTATAAAGTTCTGTCTCATTACTCTCACCCTTCAGACTGTTTTTTCCCCAAAGAAACTCCGTGGAACACAGTAGAGTGTAAGGATGGCGGGCGCATTTCCAGTGGCAGACAGACTGGCTTCCCTGAGTCTCATGTTTTGTAACTCAGGGTCACTGGGTGATTTATGTGCTCCCAATCCCCTGAGGGAAAAGAGCATAAATTGAAAACGTACTCAGGAATGTGCTCTCTCTATCATTTTCCTCTCTCTACACACTTTCACACATCAGTATGAACCATTGCTTCCCTTCGTAGCAATGCTGGAAGAGAGTATCACCCAGGGCCTGTTCAGTACCATTCAGTCTCCGTCATGTACTGTAACATATGCCTACTGCCTCTGACGTGGTGTTGAACGAAGGCCGTGACACTGCTCTTCAAAGGCCGTCGGTGGGTCCTCATCCCTAAATCCACAAGCCACAGCCCCTTCTTCAGTTCTCGACCTGTCAGCCACACTGGCCATTTGATCACTCTGTTCTTGAAATGATTTCTGTTTTTTTAAATGTATTTTTATATTGTGAAAAATAAAGTTCATAATCAAGTAAGAGAATAGCGATGATCATCACCCTGTGTATCCTTATTTTCACAGTAGGTTAGTGCTTTACTGTCTCGGGTCTTCCTCTCCTTCCTGTTGCTTCTCATCTCTCCTCAGGAGTCATTGCTGGCTTCTCTCCATCTCCCTGCTTTCTTTATCCTGTAAATATTGAAGTGCTCCTCGGTCTCCTCCTTTGGTGGTCCCATTCGCTGTAGTGGCTTTGGACACCATAGGTCCTTTGTTCACTCCCAGTTTTCTGTTTCCAGGTAGTTCCCTTGTGTAGATCAGAGTGACTGGTCCAAAAGGCTACCACTCCACCCCTGTGTCTGCTACCCAGGTTTGAGAACTGGCAAAGTCAGCTATTTTTGTACTCCAAACTCTACCTCCAAAATAACAACTGTTTCTCTCTAGGGTTCTCTCATCGCAGTAAATGCTAATTCCACCCTTCCAGCTCCTAACATCTAGAGCCTTGGCGGGTGCCCTGGGTTCTGCTTCAGGGCGAGCAGATACTGTTACTTAAAACGCGTTCCAGGTCCCACCGCATCTCATCACACACGCTGTTACAAACCTGGTACAAACCACCATTATCTGTTCTCTAAATTGTGTCAGCTCGTTCCTTACTGTCTCCCGTTTCAATCTGGCACCACTTTAATCCTTAGCAGAAAACAAAAATGGCTTCATGATTCAAACCACTTCATGCCTCTGCTGAAATCTAATGATTTCCTATTCTAATCAGAGTAAAAGCCTAATTTTGGAGAATGTAACCTTTAGATTACATTGGGGAGGGATTCTCTAAAAATCTAAAATAGTTTTTAAAATGAGGAAAAATATCACTCCTTTTTCTAAGGGACAACTGCTAAATTTTTTTCCCAATTCTATGGCTTGTCTCTTCACTCTATTGGTGATTTCTCTTGCTGTGCAAAAGCTTTGTAATAGGATGAGATCCCAGTTGTTGATTCTTTGTAGCATTTTCCATGTGATTGGGGTTTTGTCTATGAAGTCTTTGCTTACATTAGCATCTTCAACAGTTCTAACTTTCTCTCTTCCAGAAGACTTAGTGTTTCTGTTTTAGTAATTAAATTTTTGATCCATTTCAATGTTAGTCTAGTGCTTAGCAAGGGACTGGGTCTAGTTTTTGTCTTTGGCATGTGGAAAGCCAGTTTTTCCAGCACTATGTATTAATTAAAGAAGCTATCGTTCTTCCAGTGTTTGTGCTTGGCCCTTTGTGAAAGATAAGGTAGCTGAGTGTGTTCAGAGTTATGTCTGCATCTTCTAATCTGTTCCATTGATCCTCAGGGTTTTTTTGTTGTTTTTCTTCTACTTTTTTTTTTTGTTGTTGTTGTTGTTGTTTTTGTCACAGTAACTCTACAGTATAATTTCAAGTCAAGGATTGTGATGCCCTCTGCCTTGCCTTTGTTGTTTAGGATTATTTTTGCTATTTTAGGTCTCTTCTGGTTCCAGATGAATTTTAGGAATGTTTCATCTAGTTCTGTGAGGTATGCTAATGGTATATTCATTTGGATTGCATTCAATCTGTTTAATAATTTTAGGAGTATGGCCATTTTCACTATGTTGTTTCTCCCTACCCAAGAGCAAGATATAGCTTTCCATTCTCCAATAGCCTCTTCAATCTCCTTCCTCAGAGAACTGTAAGTTTCAATGCATAGATCTTTTACTTTATCACATTGATTCCTAAGTGTTTCACTGTTTGATGCTATTGTGAAAGGTGTTGTTTCCCTAATTTCTCTCTCAATGCAATTGTTGTTAGTGTATAGAAATGCTATTGATTTTGAATGTTGACTTGTACCCAGCTATCCAATTGAAATCAGTTATTAAATCTACAAGTCTTACAAGGGTCAATCAAATTGCATTTAGTTTCCAGATTTTTCCAAATATATCATAAATTGTAATGGGCTAGTAAGTCCTCATACGTCCATAACTACTTTTGTCAACTTGTTGCTCTGTAAAATCTACAAAGCAACCTTCTCTGTGACGCAGCAAGTACAACACAGGCCAGGGGTGATTGCTTCCATGCATGAGCATCCAGATTTTAGGGTTCATTGCAACCTGGGTAATGAAACATACACTATTTTCATTGATTCCTAATTTTTCCCTGTCCTGATTATCATCTTATTAAAGACAATTAATTCCTGGTGATTATGTGATATTTGGTACCACAGGTATCTAGAAACTTCTATTTTTAACTGAATACAGATGCAAACTACGGCAAGATATTGTTTCATTTTCGGAGCTTTAACTGAGAAATATTTATATGAAAATCAGGAAAAAAATTCTGAGTTTCTGTGAAGATGACTGTAAATTCTTTGTTTAATTTTTAATTACTTCCAGCAAGTTCTATCGCCAAGATTGGATCAGATCCTTTAAAGCTCGTCCATGATGCTGTAGAGGAAACCACAGACTGGATCTACGGCTTCTTTTCTTTGTTGTCTGACATCATCTCATCCGAAGGTGATGACGAAGACGAAGATGGGGAGGAGGACATTGATAAAGGTACAGCGAGGCTCGGAGACATCTCTAGATGCTCAGACAATATTAGATCCGTGTCACAGGGACTGACTTAGGCCTTAGTTCAAGTGATCACTTGGGTCAGGCTAAACCAGAAGGAGTGCACTTCTGAGCACACTAAGTACTTCAATGGGCTTCCAAATGCAGTAAATTGGTCTCTATTTGGTTTTCATCTTACAGTTTACCTGTCATCGTGGAAAAGATGCCAAAATTAAATGTTACCATTGTAATGCAGTGAGTCTTATTATTTATAGTATAAACTACAATAAATTCTAACATTTTTATGCTTAAGAAAAAGTATCTATATTTCAAGTTTCTCTAAGAAGATTGAAATAAAAACAGTAAAACTAAAAATACATGTAAATGTTTTACACATTAGTCATATCAGCATCAAATAGCCAAGAGCAATCTTACTAAAGGTACAAAGAAATAAATGTATTGAGTCAAATGAAGATAGAAAATGGTAGAATACCTTTTAACACTAGGACAATTATGCAGTTAATATATATGCTCTCTCTTATGTATTAATGAATATAAGGAAATATCAGATTTGAACAATACATAAACTTCCAATGAACAGGTATGAAAAGAATAAAGCACTGTGATCCTGTCTTGTAAATGATGTTTTTAAGACTGTCCTTGTCATCAGAAATTATGTATTCAACCTTGGCTAACAGAAAACCCTTGCTATTAGAGCACCTGCTATGTTCTTGTCTGAATTTATATTTGTTTTGGTCCCAGCTAGAAGTCAGATGAGCAAGAGAAACTGAAATTAATTTGATAAATGACTGATAATGTATAATTTGGACCATTGCCACAATTTTATTAAACTCATAAAAATGAAGCTATCTCAAATAAATGTATGTAAGCAAAGTTTATACTGTGGAATTTAGCTTTAGGGAAGCAATATAATATACTAAATATGAATGTTAAAAATAACAGATTTTAAAAAATAAAAGAAAATATGTTTACATAGTAAAGCCTTGTTATACCATGTAAAAATTCTAATTTGTATTTTTATCTTGATTTAGGAGAAATAGAGGAACCTCCCTTGAAAAAAAAAGGTTGGTTGTTTTTAAAAAGTAATTTTTCTATACAAATGTCCATTTTCAGTAACATTCAAATACATTTCAAATGTGTTGTCTCCTTACTTTATCTTTGATATCAAGGTTTTGTTTAATAATTAGATCAAAATCTATAGTCAGAAGAAAATATTCAGTTCCTTCTAATGAAGGAACCCACATTTTTCAGTTTATCATTAAATGGATTTCATCAGTAGATTCACCCAAGTCTGTCCATACATAAAGCAATGTGAATTGATTTCAGGACTGACTGAAAATTTCTGGAGCTAGGAAAGGAGCTCAGAAGATGATGAGACCAGTGATCTCTTTTTCCACTATGGTTGGATATATTGAGTTTAAGTTTTGGGGCTTATCCTTTTTCTTATTTTTTGTCAGTCTTATTTTACTGACATGTTAGGGGATGATTATGTTTCACAATAGCTGAAATGCCATGGAGGATGACCTCGGAGGCAAAGGTGTGTCATTCAACTTATGTCATGAGTCCTCTCCTGGGGGTGATGTTTCCAGGTCCACGGGCAGACAGTGCTGAAGGATTCTTTACAAGAACATCTCGGGCTGCAGGGACTGAGTGGAGGGGTCATGCTCCTAAAGTTGGGGAATAAAGGGGTTTGACTATGTAGCAAGAGCCTCAAAGAAGCAGGAATTTTCCAGAAAAAAAGTAGAAGCTATTATCTGAGAGGGGTAATGGACAGCAAAAGCACCATTCTGGGGTACATTTAGGGTGAGAAAAAAACCTACCAATGCTTGTCCCGACTTGACACAACTGTGATGCCTCAGTTACACTACAGCTGCAGCAGGTTCGCACATCCCCTGCTCCAGAGAATGTTCTGGCTTTTGTTTCGCTCTCCTAAGACCAAAGTGAACTCCAACAATAGGGTCCAAACACGTAGCTTCACCTTGCCGGTGACTGCCCCACGAGGTGGGGTAAAAACCACGAAGGGTTTATTAATTTGGAAAATTTGATTGTGCATTATGTGTAATGACAACAAAGAGCTGAACTAGTGAGATTCAAGTGTAGCCAAGCTAAGCCAAGGTGAATGTGCTAGTGAAGCTCTGTGTGTACAAAATTTTCCTGACCCATAAATTCAGGATGAGAACTCAAGACAGAATTCAGCCCCCAAGTGCAGGTCTGAATATTCTTGGTTCATCTGTCAACTTTGGGAGACCATACACAGAGTCTTTCTATAGCTGGTCTCCACTGGAGAATGAATGAACTAATTTGTACTTTAAGCCAATGAGCAACTGGTCATTGTTGGGAAATTACAGCTCATATATATGCTTAACTTCTGTGGAAATGGAAGAAGGCAAAATAGCTGCAAATGTTCTCTCTTGTACTTGCAAACTGAACCCTACAAGAATACCATGAGGTTGTATTCTCCATAAAGTGGTACATGCCAGTTAATAATCTTTCCTTTTGATTTGAATTTTCCTTTGGAATTATTTTAAAATTAACTTTCCTGTAATGATTAGTATAAGTTGCAAATCCAAAAAAGTTGTTGAACCATTTTTTTCCTTAAATTATTGCCTTGATTCATTAAATTGGAAAAAACAAAAAAACCTCTTACTTAGTTGTCTAGAATACTATTGTTTTAATGTCGGTCATACTCATTAGTCAAAACAGTGGAAGGGATACATGTGTTTGAAAGTCACCTACACTGGTAGCATGAAGGAAGACATCCTTGAAATGAGGCTGAGAACTGACTTAAAACAGTTTCATGTATTTTCTTGATAATATTACTTACAAAGTTATATTTAAAATGAACATTGAAGGAAGCATTTTGTATACATTATCTTGGCTACAAAAGCTATATCACGATAACCAGTAGTTGAAAATGGACTGGCTCACGTGTATTTTGTTACACTGATTGTTTTTCATGTATAAGCTTTTCTTGTAGTAGAGTTACAGAGGCAGTGCAAGTTTTAAAGAGGTTCGTAACAGTTTACAAAGCATTTATTATACACATTCTGCATTGAAAGTTATACTTTCAATATTATTATTAAGGAAGAGATTTTATGAGTTTTTTCTTATTATGGGTTCTTTTATATTTAAGATTTGGGGTATAGTCCATAATTCTTAATAATGTAGGATAATAATCTCTTCAAAATTTTGCTTTTTCTCCATCTAAATAACTAATCATTAACACTCTTTTCTATTCATGTATGTCGAATATTTAGCCATTTTACATTACCTAATTTAGCAGGCTACTGCATTTTCTATTCGACTGCCCTGTGCCTGCATTTGATTTAACTCAACATGAACTTTTACTTCTCATTGCCCAGCTATTTTTGCTCTTACCAAAATAAAAATTTTACCTCCTTGTTATTTATAGGTGATGTTTGCAGTTCTAACTTGATTTGGGAAAATAGTCCCATCCTCTGGTGGCTGGATTGCAGGACTGATTACCAAACAAATTGTTAGTCCAGATGAAATTTTTGAATACTATTCAGTGATTTATTTTGTCATGTATGTAATATAGTTTTAGTACATGACAGGTAGTATCTCTTGTCTTTATACTCTCCATGGATATTTAGATTTCAATTTGTTAAATTTTAAAATACTAGTTTCTATTATTAAACGTTCCAAGATGAGGGTTCAAAGAAATTAACCATTTAAAAATATTATGTTTTTACTGTGTAATTGGCTAAAAATTTTATCTGTGAAAACCAAATAACTTCAAAGTTAAGAAAGAATAATTGTAGTCATTCAGAGCTCTGCACACTCTGTTTTCTGAACAATGAAAACTGGTCTTCAGTTTTAGATACATGGTGACCTCCTGGGTTACAGATTTATGTCTGGCCTTTGAGGAATGCACCTGAGGCCCTTCTACATTACATTTAATTTCCTTGCTTCCTGACTACTTGTTTTTTTGAATCAGAGAAATGTTCTTAAGAATGAGTAGTCCCGAGATATGAAGTCCGATGTTCTGTAAGATCGCACTTGATGCGTGTCAATGGCGGAAGAAGCGATTCCTCCACTTAGCGCAAAAAAATTACGTTCTTGTTATAGTTGTGTTTTTAAATTGCCCTAAAGCTCTTACGGTTGAAAGAGCTACCCAGTAAATTTAAACTTAATTCTTCTATTATGTATTTTCCGTACTTTACTGAAATCCACAATAGCTCTTTGCAGTTAGAGGGAATGAGGAAACTCCAAGACATCTGAGCATCATAAATATGCAGGGCTTTAGAAGGAGAGCACTGGAAGGTTGAGCAGTATCTGTGGGTCGTGAGATAGACGGGGCAGTATGCGTGCCGGGGTTCTCACCGCGTCCATCTCTGCTGGCGGCTTCAGTGGTTTAGACCAGGCTGAGTGCTGAGTGTCTGAAAAATATGGTGTATGGGAAAGAGGAGGGAGAATAACAAGATGACTAAACCTGTTGCACTTCACAGCCTTGGAATATTGGTTGCTAGGTGGGCCCCAGCAACAATGCTAAGTAGTACCTGCAACTGTCTGTGGTTCTTGGGTCTAAATGAATCCAGATCAAAGCTGACATGCTTGCAGTGTTGTAGCTGCCGCCTGCGTTTCCTGACAGGGATCAGACCTGTACCTGCAGGGGGACAAGATCCAGAACAGACAGCAGGTGTGCAGGTAGAGCCAGGGTGAGAAAGGCAGAGCACGCTGGGAAAACAGAGTGCTGGAGAACGTGGCAGAGAACCACCTGCTTGTTGCTGAAGATCGAGTGTGGTCCGTGTGTCAGATTCAGGGGACGTCTTCATTGTAATTACTTTGCTCACAAGAGACCAAAATCCAATTTGAACCGAGTAGAACTGACCCTTTCCTGGATCAAGAGATGGGAAGCTATGAAGCCAACCAGCTGCAGGCATAGCTTGGCACATGATTTTGTATAATGTTACACAAAACAGCTCATTCTCTGTTCTGCTTTTCTTCCTGTGCCATTTGCTCCATTCTTCAGCAGGCTTTTCTTTCCTTGTGGCAATTATGGTTCCCAGAAGCTTGAGACCAAAGTTATTTTACTTTAGTGACCCAGGAGAGGGACTTGTGTTCTTCTCCCAAATGTTCCAAATAAAACAACTCAGTTGACTCTCATTCCTGTGGACTGAGTTCCCTATCCTTGTTGGAACCAATCAATTGGCCGAAGAGGTACAAGATGTATTTTGTCAAGGCCTGGAGGATGGGGCCCTAGGGAATGAGGTAGCATCCGCCCAACATCTTCAGGTGAGATGAGAAGAGGACTGGTTTCTGAAACTGAAAGAGACAGATTATGCTGATAATGGATTCTACCCAGAAGCCATGAATGTCCTTACCTATTTTGGGTTTTTAACTCAGAATCCCAGGTGACTTCCCACCTCAGATTAATGAAATCAGAGTCACCAAGTTTGAGTCGGACAGAGATTCCTGAGGGCTTGAGGGAGGGAGAGGACAAAAGAGGTGGGAGGACTGGGAATGACTCCTAATGATTATGGAAAAAAGGGCTCTAAAATTGATGATGGTGACTCTGCACATTTTTGTAAACAATTCTAGTAAAACCCATTCTAATGTGCACTTGAAATGGATGAATTATATGATTTGGTTTAAAATACATGAAACAGTAAAACTGAACATGCAGTTACCCTCCCTCCCATCAAAACACAATTTTTTAAAACTTTCAAAAGTGAGAGCAATAGCAACCCAAAAAAGTGATTCTAAAGTGAGGGAGTTCTATACATCAAGAAGCAAGTAAGGGAGACAATGAGGAAGCATGAATAGCGGCATAGTTGGCTTACATGTTGTGACTGCTGTATATAAATTACTAAAATGTAAACTAAGTTAACATGACTGCCACACCGACACAAACTATTGGAAACCCACTGACGATCTCATCATCTGAACCACCGCAACTAGAAACATGGCTGGAATAAGCTCAGATGAACACAGGGAGGAGGTATGTGTCTTGGTTTCTCTTTCGTTGTTTACATATCATGGTAAAGTAGTAAACCTCAGTGGCTTCCAGTTCTTATACCCGTGAAAAAAAGATGCTGGACAC